TGAAGCAAACTCCAGAATCTTTATCTTTGTTCACGCGTTGGGGAGGATGAGATCCGTATGGGGAGAAGATGCAATGGAATATAAGCCAGAGCCCAGAGAGATGGATTTCTGAGACTGGAGGGTTGAGACATGAACCTTCCTTCAAGTTCTTAGCGTTTAACGCTGGTCCAAGAACCTGTCTTGGTAAGAATATAGCTATGAATGTAATGAAGACGGTGGTCGTGGGGACTTTACAGAACTATGAGATTAATGTAATCGGAGGACAGAAGTTTGAGCCAGCACCTGGTCTTATTCTTCACATGAGGAATGGGTTAAAAGTCACACTTGCTAAAAAATGCTTAGCTTGAGAAATGCTTAGTTTCATGTTGTCTAAAATTCTATTGCAAAATAAAACCGAAACGATATTGTGATATGTGTGTGTCCGTGTGGATGAAATGTATATGTGGTTTCTTTACAGTGTTTAATGTGGCTCTCCAAGTTTGTTGTGATGGTTATATTTATGTAGTACATTTTCGCTTATTTTTCTAACGGGATTTGATATGCTCATCCCAAGTTCACATAGCGTCGTAATGTCATAAACCACCAAATGAACATCGCGTTTCACTTCAGTCCACCAAATTAGTGCAATCCGTCTCAAAAACCACCAATAGTTTATTAAGTCGAATCATGCATTGCATCTCCCATATCAATGTCTCAATTTATTATCACTTGTACGAAGTTCAAAAACAAATTCCTTGTGTTAAAATTTTAAGGAAAAATGGAAAATCTCGTTCAGAAAATTAAATTACAAACGTTCATAAGCCCAATGGGCCATATACAATTTTCTAACATCTATACACCTGATCTTCAAAAGCGCTCTAAAACCAACTTCGTTATCTGGATTGTCTTCTCCCAATTTTAAAAACCTGCTGATTTCACCAATAGCAGATCTTCCAAACCAAGAGAAAAATTCATCTAATCGATTAGCTTCCTGAAGTCGTAGATGGAATCTGCTTCGTTCCTTGACTATCTCTTCTTCTTCCTCGTACGACCGTCTCTTGCGATCTCGTTCGTCATCTGCTTCATCGCTCTTTGTAACTCTCTCTTTCTCTCCTCAAAATTGATTGGTTTTTTTTAGCACATAATTTTGACCTCTAAATCATATTGCGTAATCGTCTTTCAATTTTGACTTTTGTTGACTTTTTTATTTACAATTGTTCCTTCTTTTTCCCCGGAGCAGGGTGGTTTCTGGCATGGAAGCTTGTATTAAGCCATGTTCCTCTGGTACAAGAGATTTTTGGTTTGAGGAAGAAAACATTTAAACCAAAACCTGAATCTCGCGGCAGAATCTCCAAATTCTACAAACGCATCAGCTCTCAGAATCCTGTTCCTCAATGGTAATTACTCTCTACTCTTATTTACTGAATCCTGAGTAAATGTGGATTTCTCTTATTTGATTATTTAGGACTTATTTGTCTCAGAAATTGTGAATTGTAGAAGCTTCCATGATCCGCAACGGAACAAGCAAGAAGGAAGATTCAAGTCAAAAAGCTTTAGACACGAAGTTGTTCTGTTATGTTGTTGACTCTTTAATAGTGTCCAATGTGTAGTATTTCAATCACACATCATGGATCAGTCTTATTTGTTGTAAAGGTTGTAAAGAAAGTATGCTTTGATTTATAAATCAGGTTCAAAAAGAATTATGTTCACCAAATCTTTTGCCAAGACACAACATAAACTACATGAACCTGAAACTTGTCGTTCAGACATGAGCTGTGTTTCAATTACCAGGAGAAGGTGTAGTCTCCTCAGCAGTCTTCTTCTTGATGGGTCCTAAAGAGACTTTAACCTTGGCTGGTCTCAGAACACGTTCTTCTAGAAGAAATCCCCGGTTTAGCTCCTCCGTTATTATCCCTGCCTTAACCGCTTCTGATTCTTCACGCGAGATAGCCTCGTGAAACTACAAACAATAACAAACAAACATTACTCCTCTTTATCATCACCACTCACTACCACACATGAATCATATACTATAACCCAACATTGTTCTACTATAAAGCTCAGATCCTGAAACTATCTCCCTCTCATTAGAATCTCTATTAATCTAAGTATATGCAACAAAGAGCTGCTTCAACTTCATTCTTAGTTATGTCAAAATCAGTGAAACAGAACATAATCAAGAGCAATGTTACTTACCAAAGGATCAAATGGTTTGCCAACAGTAGCAATAGGTTTAACACGAAGGTGTCTCAAAACCTCAACCAACTGTCTGTAAATTCCCTGATAACTCGTATCAATCTTCTTCTCCATTTCAGTATCAGGTCTAATCTCTTGCCTCGCTCTCTCGAAACTATCGATGAGAGGTAAGAGACTCCTCATGACTCGCACTTTTGAATTAGACTCTGTGCTAAGCCGATCCTTGTCTAGCTTTTTCCTCGTGTTGTCGAAATCAGCTTGGAGTCTGATCCTCGTCTCCTTCTCTGAAGCGATCTTCATTGATAGAGATAAAACCTTGTTGTCGAATCTGTTTTTTTCCTTCTCGATTCCGCAGAGAATCGTTTTGAGTTGTGAGATTGTGGTTTCGTCCCCGGAGAAGAGAGCTTGTTTGTAAGCTTTGATTAGGGTTTTTACATCTGTTGGGTGGTTTGAATTAGCTTCTTCACTATTAGTCTGCGAATGAATTAACAACAACAACAAAAAATCCGAATTAGAAGAATTTCGATCCAAATTCTCCAATTAAAAAAGTTTGTATAAATCCTAACTTACAGGAGAAGACTGGTGAGCAGAGAGAGAAGCTACGAAGCTGCTGCGAGTGTTCGCGGTTATCGGAGATGGATACAAGAATGGGAATCCTCGTTTGGGATGGGAAATGGATGGAGATGGAGATGGAGATGGAGAAGGTCTGCCATGGAAATGGAGGATTCGCAGAGGTTGGGTTCTCGATTTCCGGGTGAGAGATGAAGATGAGGTGGAGAAGGAGAAGCAAGGAGCTAAGGAAGGATCGATTGCGAGAGAAATCGCCATTATCGGATTCGGATGTGCTATGAACTTTGTTACGCAGTGATGTTTATACAAAATTTGTTTTTTTTTTTAAAACTCGTGTTAGTAGTATAAAAGTGTAATAAACCAATTTCCATGGACCAGAAACGGATCGGCCCATTTACCCAATACGAAAAAAGCCGGTTCATATCGACATATCGTAAGAAAGTTTAAACCAATTCACTAAATCGCGTTTTAGTCTAATCGCGATTTTTCGGGAAATACGTAGAAATCAATTTGCTTGGAAAAGGAAGAATAGACAGAGCTTTTTGAGTTGGGAGCTAAGCCAAATCAACCCAATTTTATGTTTTTTTGTAACACATGATTAGCTTACTTATATCCAAAACATATTTTGGTGCCCATAGTCGCATTAATGTATTGAGATTTGAGACGCACCACATGATTCTTCTTTAGAAACACTCTAAAAACAGAGTTTTACTTTGGTGCAGAGGTTAAGCACTACACTTGCTTCTTCCTCCAAAATAAGTTCCTAAACAAAGAACTCGTCTATCTTCACATCTCTAGAGACTTCATATTTTTCATTTTAACCAAGAAAGTGACACAAGTGAGAGAGATCGAGGATCAAACTTATTCACCATACAACAAAGTTGTCTAAATCAACACAAATACAACCGGACATAAAGTAAACAAACCGTCTTAAACTTTAAAATATTTAAAAAGACTAAATAACAGAGAGACCAATGACCTTGGCCACTGTCCTCTTACCTTATTCAAGAAGACTCACACTGAACCAGACAAAGACACAAACACCAAAGTTTGAATCACACCAAAGTAAAAAAGAAAACAGTATTACCCTTCTTCAGACTCAGACTCAGCGTTCTTGAGCCACTCAATAAACGGAGCCACCTTCTTCATCACCGGGGAGCTTTTGTTTCCTGCACCGTACCATCCAAATATGACCTCCTCGTCCAACATGTCTTCATCATAAAGCCCTTTGATAACAAGAGCAACTTCTTTAGCAGCCTCCGGATTCGCCTTTCCGCAAAACGACTCAATCCCCTTGAGCAAAACCATCTGCTGAGGAGACCCTGCCTCTTCTTGCATCATCACCATCAACGCCATTAGATACTTCTTCTTCTTCACCACTTCTTTAGCGAACCCTTTCCCTCCGTCTCCGAAAAGCGCAGAGAGCAACGCCTCCATTTTCTCCTTATGACTCGCAGAGTTCGAAGCTAACGCGGTTTTGAGCTGTGAAGGAGTCAAACCATTCCCCAGAAGCTCTTTTATCTCACTCACAAGCTTCTCATGAGCATTGCCATCTCCGTTCTCCTGCAGCTTCTTCTTCTCCACAACTTCTGGCTTCTTCTTCTCTTCTTCAATCGTAGTCAGCATCACCATATCCGCCGTCGCAGCACTAAGCTGCTCCTTCATCCGCTTCTCAGCAGCCTCCCTAGAAGTATCAGTCTGCCACTGTACATCATCGTCATCATCATCATCTTCCTCACTCTCCGCTTGCTCATTCTCATCTTGGCTCGGAGGTGGTGAAGAATGCTCCTTCTTCCTCAAAACCTTCTCTTTCGAAGTCCCAGCAGCCTTCTTCTTGAGCTTCTTCATCTCCTCATCAGCCGCTTCACCTTCTTTAATCCTCTCCTTCTCAGCTCTCCTCATCGCCTTCTTGTCCTTCCCCGACTTCTTCTGCTCCGGCGGATGCTTCAGGATAAAAGCGGTTAACTTATCCCTCATGTCAACGTCCGAGATAAACCCACACGCCGCGCACTTCAGCTGCAGCATCTGCGTCTTGGTGATGAGAATCTCCGTCTCGGGGTTGCCGCAACCGTAGCACTGGACGTACTTCTTGATGAAGTTCTCGAGAAGCCCCGCGAGCTTCGACGTGTCGTGAGATCCGTTGACCAGCGAGGTTCCTGTCTTCTCGTCGAACTTGGACTGCGCGCCGAGCTCGCAGCCGAAGTACTTTGTGGTGTAAGCAGCTGGTCTCCCCAAGGCTTTGGCGATCTCAACCATGTTGACGACGTTGGTTTTGATGCCGTTGCCTCTGCCTTCGATCTTTGTCATCATCCTCGGCATCTTGTACCTGTAGAAGGCATCGTCACGGTTCGAAGCACCAATGTTTTGCAAAGCCATTTTTGATTCTGATGACGGTTACGACGGAGGGAATGTGTCAGAAGAAGCGCGGTCGCATAAACTGAAAATTTCGAGTGGTGGTGGTTGCGGCGTTGTGAAAACTTTTACGAGTAGATTTTTTCCTAGATATAGGACAGTACTCTCCTAAAAGCCTGATAGGTGATTGAAACAGAGAAGCCTGTTCAGACATAAAAGATTCTTCACTCTTTAGACTCTCCACTTTTGA